CGAGGAGGCGGCCATTTCGGGCACCGCGCCGCCGCGCCTCGGCGCGCAGCCGCGTCCGCCGGGCGTCCCGGCCCAGAGCCGCGCGCGCCGGGCGTCCGCGGAGAGCAAGTAGTGCCGCGCCGCGCACCCGGGCGTCCCCGCCCGGACCGCGCCGCCGCCGAATAAACCCGTCGATCGAAGTCGTATCTCTCGCCTCGCCTCTCGTAATACACTCGTCGGACGCCGGGAAATGCGGATCGTAGTCGAGGTCCGGATTATAGCGCCACTGCAGCACGAGCTCCACGTCGCCGGAGACGTCGGACTTGGACGCGCCTTTCTCGAGGACGTACCACGACCGCGAGATGCTCCGATCCGTCGCGAGGGACGCGAGGGGCACCGTGAACTCGCCCATGTGGTTGTCGCTCATCGCCACGGTGTCGACGTCGTCGAGCTGGACCCGGAGTTCCGGCGCGGGGAAGCCGTCGCCCATGAGCGGCAGCGGAAACGCGAACGTCTCCTTCCAGAGCGGCTCCAGCGTCTTATTCTTGCACGTCGACTTGGCATGTTGCTCGCTGCCGACGATGGAGAGCGTCGCCCGCGGGTCGCTGCTGCCGCCCTTGGAGAGCAGGTTCTTGTCGCGGATGCACAGGTCGCGCGCGCGGAAGAGGCCGACGCGCAATTCGTTCGGCTCCTTGTCCTTCTGCTTATCCTCGGAGAAGGGCTCGAAGGCGAGGGCCGGGTCGTGGCGCCACTGGACGATGAGCTCGACGTGGCCGCTGACGTCGCCCTTCTTCCCCTCCGCCGGCTTCAGCTCGTACCACTTCCGCGAGATCTTCTGGTCCTTGAACGGCGCCAGATCGATCGTCGCGCGGCCCATGAAGTCGGCCGCGGAGATCTCGTCCCAGTCCTCGCAGTCGACCTGGAGCGTCAGCGATCCCTCCTTCGGCGGGCAGACGGCCTTGGCGAACTGCTCGTGCCACGACGGGTCCAGGCTATTCTTCTTGACGTGCGTCTTGAACGCCTTGAGCGTCGCCATCTCCGGGATCGTGAACCGCAGGAACGGGTCGCTGCTCCCGCCCGCCGAGAGTAGATTCTTGTCGGCGATGGCCAGGCCCAGCGCCTGGACGGCGGCGATGCGTAGCTCGTTGGGCTCCTTGCCGGCGTAGTCCTCGTTTTCCGCGGAGAACCTGCGCGCGAAAGACGGGTGAGTCGCGGATATCAACACGTTTCGGGAGAGACGGTTCCGATCGAAGTAGTATCTCTCGCCTCTCGTAATACACTCGTCAGACGCTGGGAAATGCGGATCGTAATCGAGGTCCGGATTATACCGCCACTGAAGAACGAGCTCGACCTCGCCCGAGATGTTGTCGCTCTTGCCGCCGGCCTTATCTAATGTATACCACTGCTTCGTCACCTTGTGGTCCTTGAGGGGCTCGAGGGGCACGGCCACGGAGCCCATGAAGTCCGCGGACGTGATCTCGTCGACGTCCTCGCAGACGCAGAGCAGCTCCCACGTCGTGCCCTCGGGCCCCGTCGGCAGGGGCACCTCGAAGACCTCCTTGTACGACGGCTCCAGCGTCTTCTTCTGGCACGTCGACACGGCCTTCAAATGGGTGCCCGCCACGGAGAACGTGAACCGCGGGTCGCTCGAGCCCCCCTTGGATAGGAGGTTCTTGTCCTTGATGGCCAGGTCCCGCGCGCGGCTCAGGCCGATGCGCAGCTCGTTGGGCGGCTTGTCCGGGTGCGAGTCGTCGCCAGGGAACGGGTCGAATGCGGTCACCGGATTATGCCACCACTGCACCGCGAGTTCGATATGTCCCGAGATGTCGCCGTTCTTCTTCCCTTCGAGCGGCCCCAGCGCGTGCCAGCTGCGTTGGATCTTGTGGTCCTTGTAGGCCTCGAGGTCCAGCGTGAAGCCGCCCATGAAGTCGCACTTGACGCCGCCGAGGTCCACGTCCTCGCACGTCAGCGTCAGCGTCGGCGACCCCGCCGCGGGCACCTCGAGCGCGTGGACGAACTGCTCGTGCCAGACGGGCTCCAGGCACTTCGTGATGCTCTTGCTCTTGAAGGGCTTCTTGACGCCGTCGACCGCGATGACGCAGCGCGGGTCCGACGAGCCGCCAGCGCTTAGCAAGTTTTTGTCGTGGATCGCGAGGCCCGTCCCGCGAATCAGCGCGATGCGCAGCTCGTTGGGCGCCTCGTCCGGGTGCTCGTCGACGAAGTCGCCGAACCTGCGCGCGAAAGACGGGCGAGTCGCGGATATCAACACGTTTCGGGAGAGACGGCTCGTCGGACACCGGATTCCGACGGCGAGAAGTCGAGCCGGGGATTGTAGCGCCACTGGAGCACGAGTTCGACGTCGCCCGAGATGTTGTCGGACTTGTCCTTCTCGCCCTTGGCCAACTTGCCCCAGATGCGCCGGACCTTGCGGTCCTGGAGCGGGCCGAGGTCGACGCTGAACTCGCCCATGGAGTCCGCGCTCGTGACCTCGTCGACGTCCTCGCAGTGGCCCACGAGCCGCGGCGGCTCCGGCGTCGGGCCCCGGGGCAGCGGCAGCACGAGCACCTCCTTCCAGACGGGGTCGAGCGTCTTCTTCTTGCAGGCCGACACGGCCTTGAGGTGCGTGCCGGGGACCGTGAACGTCACGCGCGGGTCCGACGAGCCGCCCTTCGAGAGGAGGTTCTTATCCTTGATGGCCAGGCCCGTGGCCTGGAACAGGCCGATGCGCAGCTCGTTGGGCTCCTTGCCCGCGTGCTCCGCCGCGTCGTCGTCGTCGAATCTGCGCGCGAAAGACGGGTGAGTCGCGGATATCAAAACGTTTCGGGAGAGACGGTTCCGATCGAAGTAGTATCTCTCGCCTCTCGTAATACACTCGTCGGACGCCGGGTTTCGACGGCGAGAAGTCGCGCGCCGGGTCGTAGCGCCAGCACACCACGACGCAGACCTCGCCGGCGACGTTCTCGGACTTGCCCTCCGCGGGCACGAGAGGCAGCAGTCGCCGAGGGGCACGCGCGCCTCGCCCATGTGGTCCGGCGCGCTGATCTCGTCCCAGTCGAGGCACGTGACGACGAGCTCCGGCGGCGGCGACCCCTCCGGGCGCTCCGCGGAGAACGGCAGCGTGAACTGCTCCTTCCACACGGGGTCGAGCGTCTGCTTCTTCACCTTGGTCTTCCGCGTCACCGTCGTGCCCGCGACGGACAGCTCGACGAAGGGGTCGCTCGAGTTCTTCGTGACGAGGTTCTTATCCTTGATCGCTAAATTCCGCGCCTTGAAGACGCCGACGCAGAGCTCGTTCGGCGGCTTGCCCGAGTCGTCGACGTCCGGGAACGCGTCGAAGTCGAGCTTCTCGTCGTAGTACCACTGGAGCACCAATTCGACGTCGCCCGAGATGTTGTCCGACTTGTGCTTGTCGCTCTTGCCCAGCGCGTACCACTTCTTCGTGACCTTCTGGTCCGGCAGGTCCGCCAGGGGCACCAAAAACTCCCCCATGAAGTCCGCGCTCGTCAATTCGTCGACGTCCTCGCAGACGCAGCGGAGCGACGCGGACGCGTCGTCGACCTCGAGCTCGAGCACCTCGCGCCAGCTCGGGTTCAGCGTCTTCTTCTGCGTCGCGCTCTTGACTTTGGTGGACGCCGTCGTCTCCGCCGCGTAGACGATGTCGAAGACGCAGCGCGGGTCGCTGCTGCCCTCGCCGTATAGTAAAGCCTTGTCCTTGACGGCGAGGTCGCGGCCCGAGCCGAGGCCGATGCGGAGCGCGTTCGGCGCCTTCCCGGGCGTGCCGTCGGAGTCCTTGAACCTGCGCGCGAAAGACGGGTGAGTCGCGGATATCGAAACGTTTCGGGAGAGACGGTTCCGATCGAAGTAGTATCTCTCGCCTCTCGTAATACACTCGTCGGACGCCGTTTTGAGTGCGGCTCGAAATCCAAAGCCGGGTTCCACCGCCACTGGACGATGAGCTCCACCTCGCCCGAGACGTTGTGCGTCTTCTTGCCGTCGCTCAGGTCCAGGAGGTACCAGCTCCGGAGCGGCTTCGTCGACGGGTCCGCGAGCCAGGGGCCGAGGTCCACCGCGCACTGGCCCATGAAGTCGCGGCTCGTGACCTCGTCCCAGTCCTCCATGACGACGGTCAGGCTCGGCGCCTCCCCCGCGTCGGACGCGCCCAGCGGCTTGGCGAAGGCCTGCTGCCAGACGGGGTTCAGCGTCTTCCGTAAGACCGTCGACTCGAACTTGAGGTCGCCGATCTCGAAGCGCGCCACGGGGTCCGACGAGCCGCCCGTCCCGAGCAGGGCCTTATCCTTGATCGCCAGGCGCCGCGCCTGGACGAGGGCGACGCGCAGCTCGTTGGGCGTCTTGCCCGCGGGGATCGGCTCGTCCGGGACGTCGTCGAACGGCGAAAACTGCAGCTCCTTGTTGAAGCGCCACTGGACGATGAGTTCGAGCTCGCCCGTGACGTTCGACGAGGCTTTCGATTTCGTATCCTCGGCGTCGGCCTGGAGCGGGAACCACTTGCGGAGGCGCTTGTGGTCCTTGAGCGGCGTCAGTTCGACCTTCACGCGGCCCATGAAGTCCGCGGCGGACATGGCGTCGACGTCCTCGAGGATGACGTCGAGGAACGGCGGGTTCTCGTGCTCGCTGCCCGGCGTGTAGGGCATGGCGAAGACCTCGCACCACCGCGGATTCAAAGACTTCTCTTTCGTCGTCGACTGGCACTCGAGTTCCGTGCCGGACACCTTGAACGTCGCGCGCGGGTCGCTCGTGCCGCCCTTTGATAGGAGGTTCTTGTCTTTGATGGCGAGGTCGCGGCCGGCGACCAAGGCGACCCGTAGCTCGTTGGGCGCTTCGTCGGGGTGGTCGTCCGGCTCTAAAAACGGATCGAAGTCCAAAGCCGGGTTGTACCACCACTGCGCGATGATCTCGACGTCGCCCGTGACGTTGTCGCTCTTGCCTTCCTCCGGCAGGAGCGCGTGCCAGACGCGCGCGGCCTTCTTCGTCGCCTTCAACTCCTCGACGTTGATCGCGCACCGGCCCATGAAATCCGGCGACGACACCTCGTCGTGGTCGTACACCGTGACATCGACGACGGGGTTGTCCTGCTCGGCGTCCTGCTTGAGCGGCACCTGGAAGATCTCGCGCCAGACGGGCTGCAGCGTCTTCTTCTTGATCGACGACTTGAACGGCTTCGCGGCGTAGTCGCCGCCCGTCACCTCGAACTTGACGAAGGGGTCGCTGCTCCCGCCCTTGGATAGGAGATTCTTGTCTTTGATGGCGAGGCCCCGGCCCTGGACCAAGGCCAAGCGCAGCTCGTTGGGCGCCTTGTCCGCGTAGAGCGCGTCCTTGTCCGCGCCGAGCTCGTCGTCCGGGAACGGGTCGAAGTCGTGCGCCGGATTATAGTGCCACTGCAGCACGATGTCCAGGTCGCCGGCGATGTTCGACGACGTCTTCGCGTCGCTCTTCGCCTGCAGCGCGTGCCAGGCCCGCGAGCGCTTGTGGTCCAGAAGCGGGTCGAGCTCGATCTGGACGCGGCCCATGAAGTCCGCGGACGTCAATTCGTCGACGTCCTCGCAGGTCACCGTCAGAAAGGGCGGCTGCGAATCCTCGGGCCCCCGCGTGTAGGGCAACACGAAGATCTCCTTCCACCGCGGGTTCAGCGTCTTCTTCTTGCAGGTCGACGTCGCCTTCAGCTCCGTGCCGTCGACCGTGAAGATCACGCGCGGGTCGCTGGACCCGCCGGACCCGAAGAGGTCCTTATCCTTGATGGCGAGGTTCCGGCCCTGGGCGAGGCCGATGCGCAGCTCGTTGGACGGCTTCTCCGGGAACACGTCCTCCTCCAGAAACGGGTCGAAGTCGAGCGCTTCGTTGTACGTCCAATACAGCACGAGCTCCACCTCGCCGCAGACGTTCGAGCTCTTGTGCTTGCCCTCGGCGTCGGCCTGGAGCGGGTGCCAGGCGCGCGTGCGCTGCTTCTTCAGGGGCTCCAGGGGGATGTTGAGCTCGCCCATGAAGTCCGCGCTCGTGAGCTCGTCGACGTCCTCGATCGTGACCTCCAAAATGGGCCCGTTGGCGCCGAAGTCGATCTTCGTCTCGCCCTCCATGTACTCGCCCTCCGGCAGCTCGAGGGAGAACGTCTCGCGCCAGGACGGGTCCAGCGACTTCTTGATCGTCTTCGATTTGCACTTCAGGCGCTTCGTCCCCGTGATCTGGAACCGCGCGCGCGGGTCGCTGGACCCGGCGCCGAAGAGCACGGCCTTATCCTTGATCGCCAGGTTGCGGCCGCGGACGAGGGCGATGCGTAGCTCGTTGCAGGGCTTGTCCGCGAAGGCCGGGTTGACCTGTGCCGAAGTCAATTACTGGTTGTTGGACGGCTGATTTTTGGACGAATCGATTGCTCTTCTCGAAGCAAAGCCGAAGTTGCGTCGAAACTGTCGCGTACGCTCACATTGAAGTCCGGTTAAATGTTTGACATTGAAGTCGAGTTGAAAAATTCCGCACGGGCGTCGACGGCCTCGTCCGCCCACGGATCGAAGTCGAGGGCCGGGTTGTAGTGCCACTGGGTCACGATCTCCAGCTCGCCCGTGACGTTGCTCGAGCCGCCGTCGGCGCTCACGAGCTCGTGCCAGTCGCGCGACCGCGCGCGGCTCTCGCCCAGGGGCGCGAGCGCGACGTCGGCCTGCCCCATGAAGTCCGCGGACGTGAGCTCGTCGATGTCCTCGCAGATGCAGCGCAGCACCCAGGGCGGCTCGCCCTCCTGGGGCGGCAGCAGGTCGAAGCCGTAGGTCTCGTTCCAGGACGGGCTCAGGCTCTTCGACACCGTCTTGCTCTTCCAGGGCTTGAGGGGCTCCGCGGCGCCCTTGACGCCGCCCTCGCGGATGACCTTGAAGGTGACGCGCGGGTCCGAGGACCCCTGGCCCCAGAGCACGGGCTTGTCCTTGACGCTCAGGTCGCGGCCGCGCACCAGAGCCACCCGGAGCTCGTTCGGCGGCCGCTCCGGGTTCCCGGGCAGCGGCGCGTCGTCGACCCACGGATCGAACTCGAGTTCGGGGTTGAAACGCCACTGCACGGCGACGTGGAGCTCGCCCGTGACGTTCGAGGAGGCTTTCCCGTCCGGGTCCGGCGCGAGCGCGCGCCAGGAAGCGTCGACCGTCGGGCGGTCCGCGATCAACGCCTCCAAGGCGATGTCGAGCTGGCCCATGAAGTCCGCGCTCGTCAGCTCGTCGACGTCCTCGCAGATGCAGCGCAGGAGGGGCGGGCTCCAGTTTTTGGTCGCCGCGAGGTCGTCCTCCTTCGGCGGGCGGAGCTCGCGCGCGAAGACCTCGCGCCAGATGGGATCCAGGGTCTTCTTCCGCGTCGACGACTTCCACGTGCGCTCCTTCTCCTGCTTCTTCCGCCGCTTCGGGTCCTCCTCGACGGCGCCGCCCAGGAGCACGAAGCGCACGCGCGGGTCGCTCGACCCGCCGCTCGAGAGGAGGTTCTTGTCTTTGATCGCGAGGCCCCGGCCGCGGAAGAGCGCGACGCGGACCTCGTTCGGCGGCTTGTCCGCGTGCGCGTCGTCGGCGTCGCAGAAGGGCCGGAAGTCGAGTTCGACGTTGTAGCGCCACTGGCAGCAGAGCATGACCGCGCCGAGCGACCCGTCGCCGCCCGCGCGCTGACTCTTCTCGCCGAGCGGGTACCACGCGGTCACGGGCTTGTGCTTCGCCTCGAGGAGCGTCGCCAGGGGCACGCAGGCGAGGCCGAGGAAGTCGTCGGAGCCGATGAGGTCGTGGTCGTAGACGTGGAAGTCGACGTGCTCGGGCGCGTCCTCCGTCGCCGTGCCCGAGCTTTGGGCCCCCTTCGAGCCGCCCGCGAGGTCGAAGGCGAAGGTCTCGTTCCAGACGGGCGCCAGCGTCTTCTTCTTCGTCTTCGTCTTCCCGCCCTTGTGCTGCTTGAGCTCGACCTTGACGTAGGGGTCCGACGTCTTGCCGACGGACGAGAACGGCACGGCCGCGTCCATGGCCTTGAGGTCGCGCGCGCGGCACACGGCCACCCGGAGCTCGTTGGGGTCCCGGTCCTCGTGCTCCGCCAGCGTCGGGCCATCCAGGAAGAAGGGCCGGTCCTCGCTGGGGTCGTTGGCCGCGTCGTAGACCATCTTCAGCGCGAGCTGCACTTGCCCCCGGTCCGCCGCGGGCTCGCCCTTCTTGTCGCAGAGCGGGTACCAGGTCGGCGGCGCGGCGCCGTCGGCCTCGACGGCCGGGAGGGCCGCGGGCGCGACGCTGCACTTGCCGAGGAAGTCGGACGTCAGCGCGTCCTTGTCTTCCACGAGCACGGTCAACGACGGGAGCGCGCGCGCCTTCCCCGGCGACGACGGGTCCTTCTTCTTGTCCTTGGGCAGGGGCACGGCGAGCTCGAAGGACTCCATCCACACGGGCTCTAAATTCTTCTTGATCACCTTTCGTCTTCACGGGCTTGCCGTCGCCGAAGGTCAGGGTGACGAACGGGTCCGAGGACCCGCCGCCGCCGAAGGTGTTCTTGTCGGCGATCTTGAGCTGCCGCGCGCGCACGACGGCGACGAGCAGCGTGTTCGGCTCGCCCGTCGGCGCGCCCGAGGACTCGTCCTCCTGGGGCTCGTCGACGAACCAGCGCGCCTTGTCCGCCGCGAGCGCGGCGTCCGCGTTCGCGTCGCCGGTGCCCGCCGTGAGCACGAACTTGACCTCGAGGTCGCCGGCGGCGGCGATGGACGACCGGCCCTTCTTCTCTTTCTCCGTCGCCAGCGGCAGGAGCTTGAGCCACATCGGCGCGCCCTGGCCGTCGGGCCCGAGATCCGGCTGGAGGTCCCAGTGGCCCTGGAGGTCGACGGAGCAGACGCCCAGGGGCTTGGCCTTGCCGCTGCCGATGCCCATGACGCCCGCGTTCCAGTCGAAGACCTGGAACTGGAGGCACTGGAGCGGCGCGTCGTCGAAGACGAAGGCCTCGTCGGCGAAGCGCGGCGCGAGCGTCTTCTTCACGACGTTCGTCTTGCGCGCCTTGTCGTGGGGCTTCTTGAGGGCCTTGCCCGTCGCCGTCTCGACGAGCTGCACGGACACGAAGGGGTCCGACGTGCCGCTCTTGTCCGCGGCCGCGAGCCCGCGAGCGCCCAGCACCTTGACGGCGAGGCGGCCCGTCGTCCAGGGCGGCGCGCCGCCGGCGGGCGCCGCGGGCGCGGGCGCGGACGGCGCCGCGGGCTTCGCCGGCGACGGCGGCGCGGCCGGCGGCTCGGACTCGGGCGCGGGCGCCGCGGGCTCCGGCTCCGCGGCGGGCTCGGGCGTCGCCGCGGGCGGCTCGGCCTCGGGCTCCGGCTCCGGCTCCGGCTCCGGCTCGTCCTTCTTCTTCTTGAAGAAGGACTTTGGGCTCGAGATCTTCCCGAACAGGCCCATGGCTGCCGCGGCGCGGGCGCGCTCTGCTTATGCGGCGAGACTGGCGCGACGCGCGACCGCTGCGGCGCAAACGAGCGCGACGCGCTGCAACAGCGGCGGCCAAGGTTACTGCCGCGGACGCTGCGCCTCGCGCGGTGCCGGAACCGGCGGCTCAGTTCAAATGGCAGCCCATAGCTCGCAGAGCCTAGCCGGCCAACAGTAGCCGCGTGCAAGTTGAAAGTCAACGCAAACCTCACAGATGCGACGCAGCCCTTACGCGCCGCAGTCGACGTTCCTTGCCGCCAGTCGTCGCGCGCCATGGCCGCCGACGCCGCGCCGGAGAAGGGCAAGTGGCTCAAGCACAGCACGGAGGCCTTCGAGGCCGTGCGCCAGAGCCTGGAGGTCGCCCTGCCGCTCGAGTGGTCCGTCAAGGAGCTCGAGGTCTGGGAGATCGAGGGGCTGCCCGACATCCCGCCGATCCTCGGCTCGCAGCTGACGCTCGAGTGCTTCGTCCACTCCGGCGAGCTCGGCGGGTCGAACGCGCTCTTCGACGTCTGCGCGCGCGGCTTCGCCGTGCCCGACGGCGGCCTGGAGTTCACGCACGGCGCGCTCGGCGCGGGCGCGGTGTCGCGCCTCGGCTCCGAGACGCTCTGCGTGCTCTGCGACGTCGTCGTCGGCCGGTCCGCCGTGCTCGAGGACGAGCATGGGGGCGGGCCCGCGGCGCTGCCCAGCGGCTACGACAGCGTCTACCTGCCTAAAGACGGCGCCGAGGGCGCCGCGGGCCGCGCGCCCGGTGACGGCGCCGGCGCCGCGTACGAGCACACCTACGTCGTCTTCGAGTCGCGGCGCGTGCGGCCCAAGTACGTCGCCCACTTCGTCGCCGGCGCCGGCGGCGCCGGCGCCGCGGGCGACGAGCCCGGCGACTCGCTCGACCGCCTCGAGTTCTTCGACCGCGCGCTCAACGCGCCCGTGTCCGTGCGCGACAAGATGACGGGCTCCCACTCCTTCGGCGACAAGGCGACGCACGCCCTCGTGTCCCTCGACGACGCCTACGACGAGGCCGTCGACGCCGCGGCCGCGCTCGGCGACGACGCGGCGCTCGGCGGCCGCCGCGCGTCCGTCGTCGACCGCCTCGCGCTCGTCGACGCGAAGCTGCGCGAGGTGAACGTCAACTTCGCGGACTGCGAGGAGAAGATCTACGCGTCGCTCCAGCGGGCGCTCCTCGAGCTCCAGGAGAAGACGCGCGACCGCGTGTCGAGCCTCCTGTCCGTCGAGCTCGAGCTCCGGCGCCAGCTCGGCGAGCTCGACGCGGGCGCCGCGCGGCTCCGGCGCAACGCGACGCTCGCGGCGCGCACGGCGGGCGACAAGGCGCGCTTCGTGCGGTCCCTGGGCGCCTACAAGAAGTCCGCGGAGAAGCTCAAGGTCGGCGACGACGCCGCGTCTTCGCTCGGCGCGATCCGCGGCGTCAAGCCGGACCTCCACGTCGTCGGCGGCGTCTCCGTCGTCGGCGACGACGAGGTCGGCGGCCTCGACGGCATCGCCAAGCTCCCGCGGAACCGCGTCGCGGACGACGGCGCGCGCGCGCCGGGCACGCGCGCGGCGCGCCTCGGCGGCTCGGGCTCCGCGTCGGCGCTCAAGCGGCCCGACGAGTTCGCGCTCCTCGTGCGCAAGTACAAGGCCCACTCCCTCAAGGCCCTCGCGGACCGGAAGAAGAAGCAGCTCGCCGTCGCCGTGGAAGCGAACGACGTCTTCTCCGTTTCCACGTTAGCGCGCGGCGGCGACGGCGCGTCCCTCTACCTCGCGCTCCCCTTCACGACGTCGCCCCCGGCCACGCGGCTCCTCTACACGTCGACGGCCAACGGCCGCGACGTGCCCGACATCCTCCGCGCCTTAGCGGACGCGCCGCCGTCGCCGACGGTCTTCGTCGCGCGCGCGGGCGAGTTCGTCTTCGGCGCCTACGTCTCCGAGACCTTCAAGACCGACGGCGCGCCCTTCGGGTCGCCGCGCGCCTTCCTCTTCTCCCTGACGCTCGACCTCAAGCTGCCCTACCACGGCGCGACCGCGCTCGTCTCCGCGGTCGAGGGCGCCAAGGTCAAGAAGCACGGCTCCATCACCGCGACGGACGCGAAGATCTCCTTCGGCGCGTCGGACTTCGTCATCGACGAGTCCCTGTCGACCTGCGCGTCGACGCTCGAGGGGTCCTTCGGCGTGGGCCTCGACGACGACGCCGCGGCGTCGCTCCTCGCGGGCGCGGCGACCTTCGCCGTGGACCACCTCGAGATCTGGAGCGCGACGTCCTAGGGTGCGGGCGCGCAGCGCCGCCCCGGCGCGGGGCTGACGATTCTCTTAACTTGGATCTTGGACGCGGGCCCTACGCGAGGGGGTCGAAGGACTTGACCGTGACCTTCGCGGGCGGCGCCGGCGGGCAGGCGACGTCGACGGCGTCGCCCTGGGCGAGCTCCGCCTGCCACTTGACGATCGCGGCCTCGGGCCAGTCGACGAAGACGACGGCCTCGGGCGCGGCGCCGTCGACGACCGCGGCCGAGTCCGAGACGACCGCGGCGAAGCCGAGGTAGCAGAGGCCGACGCGGTGCTTGGCGGCGGCGGCGTAGGCGTCCGTGGCGGCCTTGAAGTGGCGCGCGGCGGCGTCCTCGCGCGCGTCCGACGACTTGCGCCGCCGCGCGGCCTTGGCCGCGAAGCGGAGGCCCTTGAGGTCGCTGAACCAGAGGCTCTCGGCGCCGCGTTTAGCGAAGGCCGCGAGGTCCACGAAGAGCACGAGCTCGCGCAGCAGGTTCGCGCCCGCGAAGGCGCGCGCCTCCGCCGTCTCGCCGCCCGCGACGGCGCCGACGTCGACGCGGCGGTCGAAGACCCAGAGCCCCGCGGCCTCGCGGTGCCCCGGGGCCGCGAGGAAGGGCCGGAGTTTGGCCTCGCGCCAGGCGCGCATGGCCGGCGACGCGCCGCCGTCGTCGAGCTGCGGGCTGCAGAGCGCCTTGTGGCCGCGCTTCCAGTGCTCGCGCTGGCAGTCGCGGCCGCAGTACCAGCTCCGGCGGCAGCGGCCGCAGCTGCTCAGCGCCGGCTTGTTGCAGCCGGCGTTGTCGCAGTAGATGGTCGTCGCCGGGAGGAGCGGCTGAGGGTTTGAGGGAGTCGGCGGGCTCGTCGTGGGCGTCGTCTGGCCCGCGTCGACGCAGGCCTTGCAGCGGCGGCCCGCGCCGGCGGCCCACTGCGTCTTGCTAAAGGCCGTCGCCGGCTGCCGCGTGTCGCAGGCGCCGCACTGGCGCTCGAGCTCGAGCGCGACCATATTGCAGTGTGAGCGTCGGCGACGGCGCGTGCCAACGCGAGCTTGCAACACGTAGTGAAGGATGGGTGGCTCGAACGTGAGATCGACGTCGATGGATACGCCAACATGTCGTCAACATCAAGGAAACATGAGTGTTGAAGATTTTGACCATAAGCCCAGCCACCAGTGCTCAGCCATCCAGCCACCAGTGCTAAGCCATCCGCGTCGCCGCTTTCGCGGCCGTCGAAACCGGCATCGTCGCGTCGACGAGCGCCGCGCCGTCCGGGATCCGCCCGCCGCGATCGAGGGCAGGTTTTTAAGGGGGCGGCGGGGAGCTTGGCGCGGGGGCCGCGCGCTCAGTTTTGGCGCTCGACGATGTACTTGGCGATGGCGATGAGGGGCACGGCCTTCTCGCCGTAGGGCGCGAGGCTGTCGATGGCCTCGCTGTAGAGGCGGTCGGCCTCGGCGCGCGCGCCGTCGAGGCCCATGAGCTTGGGGTAGGTCGTCTTGTCCGTGTCCTCGTCCTTGCCCGCGGTCTTGCCGAGCATCTCGGACGTCGCCGTGACGTCGAGGATGTCGTCGGCGACCTGGAAGGCGATGCCGATGTCGTTCGCGTACGTCTCGCACTGCCGGACGTCATCTTTCGCCGCGCCCGCGAGCACCGCGCCGGCGGCGACGGACACCTCCAGCAGCTTGGCCGTCTTGTGCGTGTGGATCCACGTGAGCTCCTCGAGGGACACGCCGGACTTGGCCTCGCACTCCAAATCCATGACCTGGCCGCCCGCGAGCCCGACGGCGCCCACGGCCTCGCCGAGGCGGCGGATCGTCTCGACGATGCGCTCCGCGGGGATGCCCTCGGCCGTCGACCCGACGGCGCAGTGCTCGAAGGACGTGGACAGCAGCGCGTCGCCCGCGAGGATCGCGACGTCGTCGCCGTAGATGACGTGGTTCGTCGGCATGCCGCGCCGCAGGTCGTCGTTGTCCATCGCGGGCAGGTCGTCGTGGATGAGCGACATGGTGTGGATCATCTCGATGGCCACGGCCGTCGGCATGGCCATGGCCTCCGTGCCGCCGAACATCTCGCACGCCGCGATGCACATGACGGGCCGGACGCGCTTGCCCCCGGCGAGCAGCGAGTACCTGTTGGGGGGGGGGGCGCCTCGGGTTCGGCTCGGCGCGCGCGCGGCGGGGGGGGGGGCGGGCGGCGGCCCACC